GTGGTTCAGGACAGTGCTTTGTGGCATTCCTTTGGGGAGGCCTATGTTCAGCAGTGGACTTGTGAACAGCTGTATTGAAGTCGGTTGTACACAATTTTAATTTTACTACTTGTTCATCAATAAGATTTATATTGTCATATATCAATATCAATATACATTATAAATAAAAGAGAGATACGTCAGCAGATCAATTTTATCGATTCAAAAATTTTCTACCATGCATGTTTCGGGAATTTATCACTGTGTGATGTACAATAACAATAACTGCAACAAAGTTTATTTTGTAACAAAATTTTAATTATTTTTGTTATATGGTTAAACCGAACGCCAGACGCCTTAATGCACCCTACGCGTACGTTACTTATGACAGTGAATATTCGTATGTTATTATGATATTGCGATGACAATTTAATCGAGCATACCAAATGAGCGAGCTGGCAATGTCGTATATGCGGGAGCCAAATACGCGGCTACGTTGTCGTAAAAAAATAAGCGAGATATACGACTGTAGATATACGCGCTGCATTCTCTAGTTGCGGAACCTTCAGGAACTGTAGATTATACAATTGCACCCACTGGGTTGAATTTTTGACATCCATCGATTTTTGTTCTACGTTTAACTACGACCATAAGGAGACAAGTGCAAGCGTTCAAAAAAGTGACGTCTGGTATGCGGATGTCTAAGCGTGGTGGACGTCATTTTAAATATACTTTTTTCTTTAGCGGACGTCACTATTATTCCAGAATAAATAAAAATATACATATATAAAATAATTTTATATATAATCATCATCATCATCATCATCATTTCAACCTTTCAGAAGTCCACTAACATAGGTTTCTCACAAGGAATAACCACAAAGCACGGTCCTGAGCCACCTGCATTCATCGACTTCCTGCATGCCTTCGCCTACCACTACAAGGCTGCCCCTCGAGAACCTTTTTCCTCCATCGGTTGTCGGTTCTTCGATCTACATAGCCAGCCCATTGCCGTTTCAGCTTACTAATCCGTTGGGCTATGTCGGCCAGTCTGGTTCTAATGCGAATATCCTCATTTCAAAGTTTATCATACAGAGAAACTGCGAAACAAAGATCATGTATAACATCCGTTCTGGTAATTGTTGGGAGCACTCGAAGTTGTTCACGATTATGTTTACTTGGGACAAATAGTCCGACTAGGTAAGTCCAACTTCGACCGAGAGGTCAATCGACGGATTCAACACGAATGGGTAGCGTTCGGGAACTCAAAACTTTAAAACGAGACTGTACAACCAGCACATATTGCCAGTGATGACTTATGGAACTGAGACGTGGTCGTTCATTGCTGGCTGAATGAGGACGCTCAAGGTCGCTAAGCGAGCTATGGAGAGGTGTATGATTGCTTATAAATTGACATATATAATTAGAGGATAATATACTAGATACGTCTTGTCGTCTGGTCGTCATAATGAAATCAATCTAATTTTTTGACGAACCGTCGTGGCTCGACCAGGTTCACTTCCTGTGGGGCCGCTTCTGGAAGAAAGAGTTCATCATAAAGAGTCTCCCTTTCTCCATGAAGTCGGCCAGCTGCTGGCCCCTTGGGTTCCGTTGCCCTATTCCAAATTTCCCCACTTTCAGCTCACCGTTTTCTCTTGTGCATAGTTTTGCATTGAAGTCTCCTATTAACACCGTATAGTGGGTTTTGGAGGAATGCATAGCTCTAGAGATATCCTGATACATTTCCTCCACCTCCTGATCGGGGTTTGCCGAGGTTGGTGCGTAAACCTGTATGACCTTCAGCGAATAACATTTGGTGATTCTGAGTATAAGGTACGCAACCCTCGTCGACACACTGTCAATCTTTACAACGTTGTTAACGAGAGACTTGTGGACGATAAATCCGACACCTCCTTGGGACAGATGATCGCCCTCCCGATATTAGAGCAAGTTGCCCGATTCGAGGATTACCGTGTCCTACCCTTCTCTTCGGACCCTTTGACTTTAGATAATCCTTTAATTTTCCAGCGCAATTTGTCTATCTCTTACAATAAATTAAACGTGGTAACTTCTCTTCGGACCTCGGATAAACCTATAATATGCCAGCGTAACTTGTCTATCTCTTCTTCCAGCTCCACGATCTTCTCGTCAGTCCTCAGGGTGCGTGCGTTGTATGTTGTCGAGTCGTCTTAGGCGGCAACCGAACCTCCACCAGCGATTCTTAGCACCCCCTGCCCCGCCGTTACTATGGTCACCACCGTAGCCAGGAATAGCGGTACTGCCGGGGACTGGGGACCGTCTCTTTGTTACCTTCATAGGGGGGTATTATATTATAACTAAGTACAATATAAATGAAATTTCATAAACTCTAATTGTAAGCGAACTGGAAAAGGCTTTTGTAATAAAATAAGGATTTCTTTTTTTTATAGGAGAGGGGGCAAACGAGCATGCGGCTCACGTGATGGTAAGTGACTACCGCCGCCCATGAACAACAGCAACACTAGGGAGGGAATTGCAGATGAGTTGCCGGCCTTTTAAAAAGGAGTACGCTCTTTTCTTGAAGGTCCCTAAGTCGTATCGGTCCGGAAAAATCGCTGATGGTAATCGATTCCACAAGAGAGTCGTGCGAGGAAGAAAACATCTTCTATATCGCACGGTGGTGGACCGCCAATCATCCAGATGGTGTGGATGGTATCGAGAACTCTTCCGCGATGTGCGTTCGTGAAATATGGATGCTGGGATTAATCCGAACAATTCCTCAGAGCACTCCCCATGGTAGATGCGAAAGAAAATGCAAAGGGATGCAATATCTCTTCGCAGTGCCAATGAATCGAGCCGATCGGAAAGGGCTCGGTCGTCGACGATTCGAGCCGCTCTGCGCTGGATGCGGTCAAGTGGAAGGAGCTGGCACTGGGGAGTTTAAGTCTAAGTTTAAGAAATTCCTTAATAAATAATTAATTATATAATTTATAAACATGCACTTTATTAAAAGTTACAGCCTATATACGTCCCACTACTGGCCACGGGCATCCTCTCATTTCTGAGAGGGTTTTAAGGCAAGGATGCATTTTATTAATAAATCCAAATTTTAAAATTCAACTAAATAAAACAAATGCGTCAAAAACGCACTGTAAAACATCACGATGGACTCTTAAACACTCTCACACATATGAGAATGCCTATACCGAGCAGTTGGTCGTATATAGACTGTTTCTTTATTTTTTAAATGAAGGAGAATATTACTCTCTTTTTACATTGTTAATAGATAACCGCTATTAAACAAAGCATTTACATCACAACTTATTTACGGCAAATATATTTTATGAACTACACTATGAACTAACATCGGTATGATCTTTTTGGCCTACGAGTTTCCTTTTCTGTTTCTGTTTCTATGATTAAACTATTTCCAAACCAACGGAAAATAACCCGCCCAATTAAGATAATTACTAGACATAAATGTTTCGTCACGATGTTTTCCTTCGTCGTAGACCTTGCAGTTATTGTTCAGTAGTTTTTTCGTGAATTAGTGAAAACATAGACAGACAGTCAGAAAAAATTCACAACTTTATAGAGCCTTACAAAACTCCACTGCTGTATAAAGTCCTTCCCCACAGAATTACCTCATAGGGGGGATATTTTCCATAGTTAGCACGGTCAGCAGGCGAGTTAGCAACCGGAGCTTTTTTGTTATTATAAATAGAGATATTTTCAAGAAAAATATATCTCAGTCATCTTTTTCGATACTCCCGGGATGATATGGGACAGTTAATGGATTCTCTCACATCGCCATAACACGTCAGTCTCTAGTTTTCTTATATTGTGGAATGAAATCTTACAAAGTAATACTAGGTGGCAGGACTCCATTCTTGCCTAGGATTCCTTCTAGGTAATTACCACCTTCTCACATATTTTGCCGCAAAATAATAGTGATTTCACTTCTGTATTTCTATCTGAATAGAACGCCAGAATAATTACAGGCCATGTGGGATTCCATCTTAGTCCTCAGAGGTTCCAACTCCTTTGTAGTCTTCTTTATTTGAACTGAGCTGCAGGTGTCCACGGGCTACAGTATCCACTTACTACCAGGTGGACGACGAGATAGTTCATCATTTTAATTTATTTAAAAAATGGCGTCTTTTTCTTCTTATTCCATTTGTGTCCTTTCAACATCTATTCACTTAGCAATTTGCCACCACAGAGTCTGTTTCTAGTGATGATGCCTCATTTAGAGGCAGTCGTATTATCAACAGTGGTGGGTTTTTCTTATTGTAGTGGTTTTGGGGTGGTGGCATAAGGTTAAGTAGTGGCAGTGACATATCACGCTCAGGGAGGGAGGATCTTTTGACAGCCAATTAAAAAAGAAAAAAGAAAGTGAATATATAATATGCTTGAAACAAGTTATACCATCCCTTACAGTCTATCAAGTCGATTGATGAACATAGGCCTCTCCTAAGATTGCCTCATAAAGGGGATATTTGCCATAGCTGCCACACTTGGCAGGCGGGTTGGCAACCGCAGTACTTCTCTAGTTGTTATTAGGAAGACGCTCCAGCCAATCTCCTGGTTTGTTTCCCTCTTTCGCCTATTACGACACCCACTGGATGATATGGGGTAGTGGATATTCCTACACTGTCATTACACGGTAAACTTTTATCTTTATATACCTATTCATAACCTAAAAAAAAATGGAATTTGTACGCCATATTTTCGATAAACGAAGTCAGCAACTAGGCATTTTTCTGCGCCGAGAATCTTATTGCGACGCAGCATTGATATGCAGCGCCATCCTACATGACAAATTCGATTCAATTCTGACCCATCTCTATTACGAAGACAGAACTTGAGTCTATCACAATTGTAATTAAATTAGCTAATTAGTTCAAAATCAAGAAAATAAACAATTGAGGTTCATCACAATTTAATTTAATTAGTTAATTAATTTTAAATCAAGACGGTATACAACTTAATTCTATCACAATTTTAACTAAAGCTTATTCGTTCTAATGTTTATCGCTTCCTCAATCAAAGCCTTCACTATTGAATGTAGCATTCTCGTCATAGTTACACCTTTTCTTCCACTCGTCAACGTCAAGGAGATAGGGAGAAGTGATGTCATAGAACTTCTTGAGGTCGCACAGCGGTCCACCGCATCCTTTGATCTCTAGGTATTGCACTTGTTCACCGGGAGATTTTACGTAAATTGGCTGGAAAAAATAAATGTTTTGATATGTTGCGATATGTCTTCATAAGAATCATACAAAACACGGGATTAAAAGTGTATTATTAGTAAAGAAGGACAGATAACTTATTTATTTAAACAAACACCAATACACAGATTACTAAATACTTAATAAACTGATCAACTTAATTCTGCACTAGCTAAATCCCAAATGTAAGAAGCGCAGCAACAACTTTTGTGTTCATCACCGTACAGTCGTAGCGTAAGAAAATCCATCACCCCATTTAGTACCGTGTGTGTCGTAAGACGACCATGAAAATGCTATAAATATTTTATGGTTTTCTATAGATGGCGGTATGACCACCTCGTTTTTGCAATACGTAAATTATTCAAATCGGCGATGAGAAAAAGCGTTGAAGGTGCGAGTTTTCTTATACTTTGTTCGTTAACCTCTCTGACGAGCCTGAACATTACCCCAAGAGGCCCATAACCAGCTGTGACCTATTATAGCAGTGAATACTGAACGGATGTGTCGGCTCAATCGAGGAAGAATCACGCATTCATTGTACTCGTATACGTGTAATAGCTGCATAGTGCTGCTGAATGAATTAGTCATTTGACTACTGACAATGACCAGATACCGTTTTAATAAGGCATTTTTTTATATAATAAGGGTGACCAACGAGCACACAGTTCACCTGATGATAAGTGGTTTCTATAGCCCATAGACGTCTACATCTATCTTCGTTTGCAAATTAAAATGCAGATGCGATATCAGCCGTGAGGACTAAGCTAGAATGCTTCTTTTCTTGCAAAATAGGTCTCCGGTTCTCTACACTCACCATACAAAATACATTAAGCTGCTATTTTACGCTGGTATTCTGTGAGAGCGTTATCCTTCCCCGGTCGAACCGATCCATTCGTGCTACAACTATACTATTAATACAGCTGTAGCATGGCTCTACCACGTAATAATTTCATCTTAGTTCTCAGGAGTGCAATACATTTTAATTCTATATGGAGAATAAGGTAATGGAGGATGGAGGATATTTTTCGTAGAATAAGGGTGACAAACAATGTCACAGTCCACCTGATGGTAAGTGGTTAATGTGGCCTATAAACACCTATATCTACCCTCGATTAAGAATCAAAATGCACATGCATTGTCATCCCCGAAGACTGAGATTAAATGCCTCCTTTCCAGTAAAAAGAGTCTTCCGATCATCACCAAACAAAAATTAATATGGAGTAAGGATAACTCAAGGAATAATTTAGCCTTGGGTGGGACCGTATTGCTTAAAACATATATATTTCTATGGACCCAGTAACAAATTACCGTTAGGATAGGATTGCTAACTTTTTTATATCAAATATAGTATTTTCGAGACATAAAAATTAATAATAAAATAAATTATTTTCTAGGAATATATTTTGCAATTTGGATCCTTTATTAACAACCTCAGCTAATATATTTTTGATGTGTAACATCTTTCCCCTCGCTTTTGCGCAATCTGTGTGAGTAATTTCGTGAAAAGCGTCGAAAGTGTGTAACAGGAAACCGGAGAAGCGCGCGCTATTTGATTTGACTAATCAGCGAATATAATATATGTAAACTAAATTAATAAATGTATTTACGTTCATAATAACTGTCTGAAAAAGTGGAGATCATCGACAAAAATTCAAATGACTAATAATGAATAATTATTCAAATAAATATTTCAGTATTTAATTTTTATAAATTTAGAGATTAATTTCTACGTGGTAGAGCCATGCTGCAGCTATATTATGGTTGTAGCACGAATTGGTCGGCTCGACCGGGGAAGGACCATGCTCTCACAGAAAACCAGCGTAAAATAGCAGCTTAACGCTGCTGTGTTTCGTATGGTGAGTGTAGAGAACCGGAGACCCTTTTTACTGGCAAAGAGGCATTCCATAAAGACTTAAGATTCAGACAACGTATCTGAATCTTAAGTCTTTATTGAGGATAGATGTAGATGTCAATGAGTCACAGTAACCACTTACCATCAGTTGGACTGTGTGCTCGTTTGTCACCCGATCCTATAAAAAAAAATTCTGTCGCTGCACATCTGTAATTTTTAATATTGATTAAAAAAAAGAAATAGCTTTTTCTCAGTATATAATGTTTATGTTGCTTGTAATCAAGGTAAGATGTCACATGTTACACATCATATGCGACTACTGTAAAGCTCGCTCGTTTTTTTTTTATTACAGTAATATATCAATAATATTTTGTACAGTAGGGTCAGAGTGGATGAGAGTGCGGAAGCTTTGTACAAGCGTCTCGCAACGCACGCACGCAAGCGCATGGTTCACCTACACTAGCATCATAGAAAATAACGCGATGCTTACGTCGGTAGTACTAAATATTATGTTAATTTCTTTGTCTGATAGGATGCACAGGCATTAAGCTTCCACACACTCATCTCCTATGGTGGAATTGTCAACCCTTTATCAATCGAACATACTGGCGTAATGCTATCTCTTTTATCTTGGTTAAATAAAAACTATCACCTTCTACGCACTAAATAGTTTCCGATTATTCAATTTTGTTGCCGTTTTGAAATCAGGAGTCGATTATCACCTGTGTCCATCGCAAAAACCTGACAATAGGCTGTGATATGGAATCCGCTACATGTTAGACGTTACATTTTCTGATGCAGCCACTAATCTTAAAAAAAAATACATAAACTCACAGCACACTTCATTATTTAAATATTCATACCTCCGAAACCATAAAAGTGGAAAGCGGGCCTAGTTAGGTACAAAAGAAAATTCAAAAGTTGTCGGCATCACTGATAAAAGAGTAGAGATCTGAATGGGCGCTAAGATCCATAACAGTTGCTTAAATTATAAAAAGGTACAAAGTTCTTGAAAGTAAAATATGAAAGTTGCTAGCTAACTAACTAACTAACAAACGTCCCAACGATACGTATAAAGAATTAAGTAATATAAAGAATTAACGATATGTATAAAGAATTAAGGAAAAAATATGTTATTCTCCACTTTAAATTCAAGCAATTATTTCTGAAGTTTGCGAGTTTATTTCCCTCCAGTGAATGCAATTTGAAATAATAGTAAACAGTAATTTCAAATTGGTATTTACTGTGTTTTTCTCGTAAGGTGAGTGTAGAGAACTGTCTTCGGTTTTCCTTTGTACTGAAAACGAGGCATACTCCAATCCTCAGGGGGTGACAGTGCATCTGCATTTTGATTCTTAATGTGTAGATGTCTATGGGCCCAATGTACACTCACTGTCAGGTGGACCACGTACTTGTCAAGTACACAGTCCACCTAATGGTGATTTATAAAAACTACTAACAGTCGCACCAACGATTATAAATATAGAGATTTAGGCCCAAAAAGACGTCAGTCTTCACTTTAAATTCAAACAATAATTTGTGAAGTATGCGAGTTGATTTCCCTCTAGTGAATGACAATTTGATATTACGGTTTATTCTGTTTTTATTTTCCTTTAACAAGAACAGTGCATTTAGATCCCCCGAGGATAGTACGGTAAGAAGAAAATCTCGCTCCAAAAAATTTCGCTGCAGTGGACGTGAACTGCTTGATCAAGTAACAAATTGATTTCATTGTACATTTTTGTTACATTCATTAATAATGTAAATAAAACATAATGTCAAATATTAAGTTGTTTAATTTGGTTTATATTAATTTCAATGTAAGTCTTCTTTTATTAAAATAGTTTATATACATACAAATATTATCCCCAACCTGACAGCCTCAGAAGTCCACAACTGAAAATAGATCTGCCCCAAGAAATGCTACAAAACATGGTCTTAATAAGCCACCTGCATACGTGTATTTCCTACATGCCTTATTTAATTTCGAGGTCGGCCACCCTACACTACGCTAACCCTTACGAGGCTACCATTCGAGAATCTTTCATCCTCATCGGTGGTCGGCTCTTCGTGCTATAAGGGCAGTCAATTGTCACATCAACTAAGTGATCCGTTGGGTTAAACACTATGATACTAATTTATGTTAATCCTCCCGACATAGTGCCAAGAAAGCTGGCTTCATTATGGCGTGACAGTGAAGATGAAACTCATATGACATCATGTTGCAAATGACATCCCATGTTTAGGTATATTTTATATCAGAATATGCCGATATACGAGATCGGATGCGGAGAACCGCATCAATGATGCAAGTCGTACAAGATTTATTCCTTTCGGGGACTTTCGGACATCCCCTCATATATATAATAATAATGACCTCCAGACCAAATTTCGGTCACGGCGGCCAGTCTCAATTGTAACCAGCGATCTGCGCAGGAAGAACTATAGTGCCCAAGTGTACGCGCAAGCACAGTTGGCACTCTATCCTCTGTCCTCACTCTCATAGTCCAATGGGACGGTAATCCAATACGACCGGAGAGAGATCAGGCGTGTATGTTTGTAGATATTCTCAAGGAAACACTTACCAAAACGACATATCTTCCCGTTTTCACCACCCTTCTTAATTCCAGCGCAAATAATCCAGCATACGGCGGTACGCCCTGTCTAGGTATTGCCTTTGATATCGCCTCGAAGGCGTACACGTTGTTATCGTGTGCGGAGTAAATCCTCACTTTTTGAGTGGGCTCTCCAGCAACTGCTGATGCGGATACCTCGAAGAATTCATTTAAAAGTAAACCTGTAGATTTCAAGATCTGTTGATTTTTTAATTACAGCTTATCACAGTGACTCGATGGTCTAGTATTTGTCTTTGTGAAATTGTTTACCACCAGCGATTTTTCGGGACCAATACGACTTAAGGACCTTCAAGAAATAAGCTTACTCCTTCTTAAAAGGCCGACATAGCACCTGCTATTACTCTGGTGTTGCATTTGTTCATGGTGGAGATCGACACTTACCATCAGGTTAGCCGCATGCTCCTCTTTGCTTCCTCTTCTATAAAAAACGCGGTTGCTAATTATGAGGTATCTGGTTCGAATCCCAAAATCAGGCCGAAATCATTTATTGGGTATCTTTGTCAAGATATTCTCAGTAGCAGCCCGGAGTCAGAAAGTTGACTGTGTTTCACTTTTACCTCGGAAATCGTGTAAAGCATTCGGCCACTGTAATCCTGTGCAGCGAGATGGCTGGTATCTGTTGGCCCTGGATGCCCTAACCGAAATTCGTTCTGGAGAACATTTATATTAATTATTACAGACTATCACAAGGCCACATTTTTTATAGTTGCACGGTCGGCAGGTAGGTAAGCAACCGCCACTGGTATGCTATGTTGGCAAAACTACTATTTTATTGTCAGGTATATTGACCACTGGGTACGGCGTAGCGTCGTCATGAGCTTCGTTTACTTACCAGCTTTTAATGGCAGCAAGGTGTCGTTAGCAAATAATATATCAAATGCTTTGTCAGCCGCCTCTTTTATATCCGGCATCATTTTCTCTATTGATGGTTCAACAGGAATACCCATATGTGTCTGAAACATTATTAGTACTTTATAATAAACTGTTAATACACATAAACTCTCAAGATTGTCATCCAGACGGATAGACAGAGGTTTTTTATTTTATTTTTTAATTCATCTCGATTATTATTTTTTTACCCGCACTTACGGGTTTTGTCGCGTAATCGCTGAAATTAACATTGAATGTCGTTTAAATTATAGAAAAAGTTGTTCCATGTTAAATGTCACTCAATAAAAAAAACGTTCATTAGCGGTGCTATCGTAAACGCGTATTAAAAGTATCACTGTCAATTTTATTTATGAAAGTGGTGCAAAAGTTGTTTATCTTTTTTAAACTGTATATAAATATATCTATAGTACTAGGTATAGTGCTATAGTTATATTTGGCAAAAAGGCGGACTTAATGCACAGGGCATACTCTACAAGTCTACATTCAGACTAAGCAGAGAAGATATTGTGAGTGCAAAGAGCAAACAGCTAAGGTAAAATGTTTTTGCCAAAAATAATACAAATATAATATGTAAATATCTATTTAAATTTTTCTCGTCACCACGCTGTGTCTATAAATGGATGATAGATTTCAGCTTGTCACTGAGAATTCTTACCTGACTAATGAACAAGTCATATGCGTAGAATATCTTAACTGGAGTACTTCTTATATCATTTTTCAGTACTGAAGAAAGCCGATCTAGCACGTCATTATATTTCGCCATCTCGGGAATATAAGTAGTTAATAATTTTTTTTTGTACTCGTCAAACCTTGGACAATTAAAGCCCATGAGCTGAAAAAAATATATGAAAATATATAATTAAAGAAATACGTAAAATACTTACTACGGGGCATTGAACTCCTGTCGAATAATGAAAATGCTCCATGGTATAATTTGACCGTGTGTTTATAAATATCCACTACACTCTATAATCTTGTTCGTATCATAAGAGGCGACAGATCTGTAATAGTTGCAACGCTGGCAGGCCCCAGTTTTTCATAAGCTTGAATAGTTAGCAGGAACATGCTGTTGCCCATCTCCCATTTCACTTTTCCTCGGTCACATTTTTCGGCAAACATACAATATCCACTACCCACGATGAGTAGTGGATATTCTTACAGCGCCACAATACAAAAATCAAGAGTATTTTTATAGGAGAGGGGGCAAACGAGATCAGATCGGAACTAAGGGAATTATAGATGCGTTGCCGGCCTTTTAAAAAGAAACAGGGTCTTTTCTTGAAGGTCCCTAAGTCGCAAAAGTACATATAAATACGCAATAGACATGAAATATTCAGTAGACTGGCTCTTAAAGTCGAAAGAAAGTTAGTTTGATTCTTTCCTAAATTAAATCGAATTGCTTATTGACTGATCCGATCTTTTGAGATTAACTTGACAACAGAGTCATTGAATGCTTCTCCAACTGTCGCCGAATCATTACTTAAACAGAATGTTAATACCTGTTTAAAAGAATTTAGATTTGTAAAAGTATTACCGCATAATATTGTAAAATACTTCAAAACCATTGATGTAAAGAAAACCGCAGATTTGTGGGGGATTTCCGTTACAGTGATTACGTCCATAATAGATTTAATTGCACCTCATCTTGCTATTATTTTTAATACTTGTATCGATTCTGGTGTGTTTCCTGATTTAATGAAGTATAGTAAAGTAATACCTTTATTTAAATCTGGTAGTACATTGGACCCCGCTAATTATAGACCTATTTCTGTACTACCAACTCTCAGTAAAATTTTTGAAAAAATAATTTTGGATCAATTGTTAATTTTTTTTAATACAAATAAATTACTTCATAAAAATCAATTTGGTTTTACAAGGGGCCGCTCGACGTCTGACGCCGGTGTTGAGCTTATGAAATATATTTTTAATGCCTGGGAGAATTCACAAGATGCCTTAGGTATTTTCTGTGATCTTTCCAAGGCTTTCGATTGTGTTCATCATGATACATTAATCAGGAAACTACAACATTACGGTGTAAAAAATTTGGCGCTTAAACTTATTACTTCATATTTAAGTAACAGAACTCAAAAAGTCGTCATTAATGGTAAATGTTCCTCCGGATCGGTAGTATCAATGGGCGTTCCTCAGGGCTCGATTCTTGGCCCATTCCTGTTCTTAATCTATATTAATGACTTACCTTATCTTGTAGGGGACAATCACGATATAGTATTATTTGCTGACGATACCTCTTTAATTTTCAAACTGAAACGGCAGTCAATTAAATATGACGATGTAAATAATGCTCTATCGAAACTAGTACATTGGTTTAACGCCAACAATTTGCTCTTAAACGGCAACAAGACAAAATGTATTAAATTTACAATACCTAATGTAAAACATTCGAAAACCAATGTGCTCTTAAATGGGGAGGAGTTGAGTCTTGTGGATACCACTGTTTTTCTCGGTATTACTATTGACGCGAAACTTCAATGGGGCCCCCATATATCTAAATTAGCAAGCAGACTTAGTTCTGCAGCATATGCTGTAAGAAAGATTAGAAGTCTCACAGATGTTGAGACAGCTAGGTTAGTGTATTTTAGTTACTTTCATAGCGTAATGTCTTATGGAATTTTGCTATGGGGTAATGCGACTGATATTGAAGCTATATTTGTTTTGCAAAAGAGAGCCGTACGGGCGATTTATAATCTAAATTGTAAAGAGTCCCTTAGAGAAAAATTTAAAGAAATAAACATATTAACTTTGGCATCGCAATATATTTATGAAAATGTAATGTATGTACATAAAAACATAAATAGCTTTAATAAGAATAAGGATGTTCATACCTTAAACACTAGGAACAAACATAAGCTTGTAATGCCACTTACAAGACTCCACAGAATTAGTAATTCATTTATGGGGCAATGTATACGCTTTTACAACAGAATCCCAGAACATGTTCAAAGTTTGTCAATAAACAAGTTTAAAAGTTTTATTAAAGAAAAACTGTACAAAAAGGGTTATTATAATATCAAGGAATACATGAGTGAAAATAACCCCTGGGAATAAGGTGATCGCCACCATGCTGGTTCTATGAAAATTCATTTAAAATTGTATAATCAAAATTATTGTTAAGTGAAATTATGTTTAAAAAAAAAAGTCCCGCTGGGTTTCTTGCTGGTTCTTCCCAGGACAGGAGGTATTTTCCGAACCAGTGGTAAATAAAATAATGACTTTCAATAAGTATTATGTAATAATCCATATTGAATAAAAATCATTCTATTCTATTCTATTCTATTCTAATCGGAAACAAAGATATCATGACTTAGCCTTGGCTTGAATCCCTTTCCTCTGCAAGAAAAACGATCCATTGCATTGCCCATATTAATATCGGAAATATTATTTCTTATCGCTAACAAGTAATTGTGGTCAAAATTGTTTTCTGAACATTTCCACTTGTATTGTGGTGATATATTAGAATGATAAACTAACCATTAGTGTAACATATTGTCAGTGGCTCCGGCGGGCAACTTCGAACGAAGAGACTCTTCATGAGTCTATAAAGTATATGCCGTATATGCCTATCTGTACAATGTAAATGCCTCTCCCATAGATTGCCTCATAGTGTAAGTATTTGCATAGATGTCACTCCTGACAGTCGGGTTGGCAACCGCAGTTTTTTATGAGTTTGAAATGTTATCAGAAAGATGCTTCTGCTCATCATTTGTTTCAGTTTTCTCATGTCATAACTTTCGTCAACCTCCGGGATAATATCGAGTAGTGGATGCAGTTAACATGCCTTCGAAACATATTTTTAATTATCAGACATGTAGGTTACCTCGCAGTAATTCCCATCACGAATTTTTTTCGTGTGGTAAAATTTCGATCATGTCGTGTTATTACTCAATATACGTTACACAGCAGCTTTATTATGACTGTATGATAGATGTGTCGGTTTGACCGGGGAAGGATTACGCTCTCACAGAATACCAGCTTAGAAGAGAAACGCATTCGTATTACTTACCATCAGGTTGATTGTGTGCTCGTTTGTCACCCTTATTCTTTAAAAAAATGCTCACGTACTGTAGAATTTACGGCAAAGGCTCAGCACCTGAGCAACGGCTCTACCATATTAATTACTATACGTTACTTACGAAGTCATAACGCAATGGTACGGTGGTGTACGGTACTGGAACCCAGTTGATATCTTCAATCCAGCCATGTCCATCAGGGCGATATACGGCTGCCATCGCCACAAGCACCGTCATCTTAGCGCGTGTGGAGTCGGTAGACCGGATGTAGATTTCTGACTGGTTATATTTGGGTGAAAGGTAATCGCTATATCTATTTCGTATGAATTTTCCCAGTTCGTAGGCTCGACGTTTTCCAAGCTAAAAGAAAGCAATTTTTAATTAAAATAGTAAAGTGCAGTTACAGCCTATATACATCCCACTCTTGGGTCTGTACCCAAGTCCTATGCCTTCTCTTAATTTTGAGAGGGTTTTAGGTTAAGGAAATATCCGCCGCGTTGCGCCAGTGCGTGTTGGCGGATTTTACATGCCTTCTCGTATATACTTTTTAATTCCTTACATCACGATGTGTTACCGTCACCGAGCACGTGGTAGTTTTTAAGTGTTTACATCGCATAGACATGTCATGGATTGCTTATCAGAAAAGGAATATCATCTAGTAATCAGGGATGGTTTATTTATCTAGTTATTCCTTATACATTTATATAATATCATATATTTCTCATTACAAAATAATACAAAGGGCGGACTTAATGCCATTAGGCATTCTGAACCTGTCAACCATAATTTAAGAAAATCTGAAAAAAAAACTATTTTACTTTAGTACATGGATGTATGCGTGTGTTCATTTTTGCGAGAGTGTGTGTAGATAGATCTATCTTAGGTCTTGGAATTGGAATAACACATTGATTTGAGTGGAAAAAGTACTTTGCCTATATCAGCTCAATAAATTAAAATGAAGTGTCTTACCTAGTTTCATCATTTTATTTTATTGAACGGCAAAGTAATTTTTTCCAACTTTAAAATAACGAATTTCCGCAAAGTAACGCCTGATTTTATTTATTTATTCATTATGGTACACCAAAATACATAATAACCAGTAGAGTTAAATCTTATGTATAATATGTACAGCATGCAACACATTCATTCTTTTTTTTTGGTTTTTTCAAAACATTACACTAGGATTTTCTCATATACCGTGGAGACGGTTAATATACATAAATTACGTAAGGACAATAATTTAGACACGGAAAAAATATTTTAAGGTTGTAAAAAATACTTGTTCCGTGCGGGATTCGAGCACGCGGTCCGCAACTCCACGCAAATATGCCAAAAGCATCAAATGCATAAAAATAATGATGTCGTTTTCCGATTTGTACCCGAGCGAAGCCGCATGCAAAGGCTAGTGTTGTATATAAACGGAACATAACAATCATCCCACAAAGTGATATCATTTCAAACTTTTTTAGTTTTCGAATAGCGCACATTAATATTCAAAAAGTTTGTTCCATAAAACTTTCACGTCATACTGAATACGAAACGACAGATCCAGCAAATTGCATAACTTACACCATACCTCGATTCCGTCATTTATGGTGATTAGGGAATGTTTTGCTTTTAAATCATGTCGATTATTTCAAACTTTTAATAATGACAGTCGTATATCACGACAACACACGCGTGACTTTGAATAATTTCTGAATAATGACCATTAATATTTTTTTTATTACGTTATGGGTATGGAAACACAAATAATATATGTTGTTGTCATTGATGTTGGTACTGTATACTTTTCAGTACATTAGCTTAAAAAAACTTCTATTGCGACTGTTAAGTCTTTTGGGTTGTGTTCTCGGCTTTGGTTTTCACCAATGTTACCCCAATAGTAAGATTTTCTCATAATTCGCGGAGGCGTTTAACATACACTTACATTTCAATAGAGTACACATCCAGACTCGGAAAAATTATTCCTAGGCTATAAAACACTTGTTTCGTGCGAGTATCGAACCCGTGGGCTTATAGCGGCACGACCAATCACCACTGCGCTACAAAGCTGGCAGAAACAACTGAACATGAAATCGCAAAGTAAAGCGATCATTTGGTTATTGTTTAGGGGCGGAACTGCGAAGCTAAAACAAACAAACAAACGGTCTTGGTAATCTATCGTGTATGGCTTCTACCACAAGTATTTCCAACTAAGTTAGATTCATCATCATCATTACAGCCCTTCACAATTTCAACGCCGAAAAAAACCTTCCCCCAACCTAATGCATCTGCATCCATCAACTTAATGCATTTCTTACAAGGTCTTCATTCCTCATCTAATGGAGATCCACCCTACACTTTGCTAACGAGGCTGCAACTCGAGAACCTTTCTTTCCTATTGGTTGTCAGTTTTTCGAGTTATAAGGTTGGAACTTCAGCTTGACTAAAAAGATTAATCAACGGGAATAGTAGTGGTTTTAGCAGTGCTGCTAGTATTCTTTATTATTTTTTGATATCTTACGTCAGTCAGTTGGCCATATCCGAGTGGTTCTGTTATTTTCTGCAGCAATTCAGGCTTGTCGCTTAGATACAGGTACTCCTGCACAGGTGTTCTATCACCATGTCGATGTACCTGAAACAAAATAATATTTAAGTAACACTCCAAATTCGCCGTCACCGTCAGACCATAGACCTCTAACCGACATAGAAATATATCAATGCCGTTGATGATATGAATAAAATAAATAATAATAATATATGAAACGAGATGAGGAGAGAAATTTGATATTAAATCCCTTTTATTGGCATACAAATAGAATTAAAATGCTTTACATACTACTGTTTTAATAGCAAATGTAAATAAAAATTATGTATTTATTTTGCCATAGTTTTTTTTAATGTAGTCAAGTTAGACAAATTTGTTATACATCGAAAGAGGCCCAACAGTGAATTTTTACAGGCTTATAAAGAAGAAGGAGACTAAAACTAAGGAGTAAAAAAAGGTTATATAATAATATTGTAACTCTAAAAGCGGTGGTTGCTCAGGGTCTTAGTGTTTGCCGTTATTATGTAAATTGTGTTCGATCCCCGCCGGCACCAATAAAATTGTTCATTGTAATTTTAAGTGTTGATTTACCACGAGCTCAGCGGTGAAGGAAAACATCCTAAGGTCCCGACCCGGAGGACCTGCGTGTCTGAGAAATTAAAAAGAATATTTCGGACACGTGAATCCTATCATCCACCCAACACACAATGCAGCATCGCAGTCTACAATACCTTGGTCTAAAGCCTTCTCAGAAATGTGAGGAGATTTGTGCAAAGAAAGAGGACCGTACGGTGGGAGATTAATAACCTAAATTGTAAAGAGTTCCTCAGAGAAAAATTTAAAGAAATAAACATATTAATATTTGCATTGCAATATGTTTATAAAAACGTAATGTAGGTACATAAAAACAGGAATAGCTTTGATAAGAAAAAAGATATTTATACTTTAAACACTAGGACCAAACATAAGCTTGTAATGCCTGTTACTAGACCCCACAGAATTAGTAAGTCATATGTGGGGCAACGTACCCGTTTTTACAACAAAATCCCAGAAAATGTTCAAGTTTGTCAATAAGCAAGTTTAAAAGTCTTATTAAAGGAAAGTTGTACAAAAATGGCTAGGTATCGAGTAATACAGGAATGAAAATAATATCCCTGGGAATGAGGTTATCGCCCCCATGGTGTTTCTATTAAAATTCGTTCCTATGATAATTGTACAAAATTAGTGTAACGACATATTATATATATGTTTAAAAATATATGATCCCGCTGAGTTTCCTGCTGGTTCTTTTCAGGAAAATGGGTATTTTCCAAACCAATGGTAAAAAAAATACTTTCAATAAGTATTAATAACTGATTAAAAAATTATTCAATTCTATTCTATTCTAAAGGAGTGGGACGTATATACGTACCACTCCTTTCCAACAGAACAGTGCAGAATCAAAAATACTTACCAGAAAAGTAAACACTAGTTCTGTTCCATTTAATCCATCAAGGTTTCTCGCTAGACTTGCATGTAGATAAAACGAAATTAACAGCACATTAAAAAGTATCATTTTATTTGCTGTAATATAACGATAACAGAACCATTACAATAAAAATGTTATTAAAATAATATTTAAGAATGTAAACTATGTGAGAAGGTTTACTTTGAAAGCAATCACGGAGAAATAAAATAATGTTTACATTGTAACGTCTACTTTGCAAATGACGGAAAGTTAAAACTTTTTATATTTTAATACAGAAAATACTATAATAACATCATATAACAGCAAAGTGCGTTTGTCGATTTGTCTTTCATTTACGCAGCAACGGAGATTCGGATCGACATGATTTTTTTCATAAAAATAGTTCGAGTTTCTCAACTTCTTACAGATAACGGACAAGCCTTCGCATAAGCTGGAGTTGCAGTAAGCATCCCAGTTCTGCTGATGCGTAACCTAAGTGCATTCATATATTGTGTATTGTATGTGTACAAGTCTCACATACACATAAGACCTAAAAGATTCAGACCTACATTCTATCGCAACAGATTTCGCGATGATTGTAGGTCCACTTCTGTGCGATTTACTAGAAGTTTTCTTCATCGTACGACTTCTTTTTGTAATCAGCTACCACCATAGATTCTTAGACTTAGGAACCTTCAAAAATATTAGTCTATACGTTTTTAATTCTCACTTAGTCACTTGATTTCTACAAGTGAGCTGTATGCTCGTCCCCCCCCCCCTCCTCCCACTCCTATAAAAAGGCATGGTACACAGCTGTCTAGTAGTACAACAAGATAGCGTAGATAACGATCGTCGAACTCGTCGACTTTTTTAGTCGTGCCTGCCCGACATTTGGGCTGTGTTCCTTGCACAGCCCAATGCCCGTCCCGCGTCCCCGCCTCTAGCCAGCCCATCCACCTAGTGTGCTTGGCTATTCTATCGACCTTCCGACTGTGCGAATTGACGACTCTCTGACGCCGAGCACCGGACCTACAACTCCTGTGTCATAGATACAATTTACGACTCCGCGTGCCCTGCGCCCTCCGCGATGTCTACATCCGGTCTTCTCGGATGCCGAATCAGGCTCTGACATGGAGACCGACTCGTGTGTCCCGCTTAAGCCCGAAGATGAAGGCTTCTCCCTCGTCCAGGGGAAAAAGCGCAAACGCGCAGCCCCAAAAAAGGCAGCCGAGCTTAGCTCGGCCCTCTCGTACCTAACCGCCACTCTGGCAAAAAAACCCACCCCCGGGGTGCACTCTCAAGCCCCTAAGCCTGCGGCCAAGCCAGCAGCGAATGGATTCCCTGCTGTACGTAGGGAAAAGCCGCCACCACCCATCATAGTTCAAGACAAAACCAAATGGAATATCCATTACACTTTGTTGAACTCAAAAAAATATACTGCCCAAAGGTGCATAACGCCGATCTAGGCATTCGAATTTTTGTAAATACGACTGACGACTTTCGCAGAGTGACAACAATTCAACATTCATACGTCCCCCCCCCCCCCCCCCCGAGGAACGTAGTCTACGCGTGGTCATCCGTAGCCATCCCCAAGGAGCTCGAGACTGTCCACATTCTAAACGACCTAAAGGCCCAAAAACTCCCGGTCCGGGAGGTGCATAGAATGCACCACCAGACGGATAAAAAATGTTTTTAGATCTATGCTTTTTCATCCTGAACCTGTCTCCGGGAGGCAAGGAAATTTTTAACGTCCGGCGCATTTGCAACCTCACGGGGATTTCAGTGGAAGCCCCCCGAAATAGGGGTATCGTTGGCCAGTGCCATCGGTGCAAACGGTACGCCACTCGACCAGAAATTGCTACGCCAAGCATAGGCCTAGGTGACCACGGCACTACTGACTGCCCCGCACGCCCGAGACGATTGAACCCCCGAGCTGCATCAATTGCCGCGAAGAGGGACACCCAATGAATTATCGCTGGTGTTCCAAAGCGCCGCGAAGGAAGAAGCGCAGACGTAGAAAACGCGTGGGTCAAGAAAATGCGTCTCGCACTCAGCTGCCTGCCCCTAAACCCGCACCATCTCCGGTGCCCGCATCTGCGCCTCAAGTTGCCACTAAGCCCGCCCCTGTCTCCGGGGCGGTCTAGCAAGGTGCCAGCCCTCCCGCATCTTCCGCGTCAAAACCCAACGATTGAGTGAAAAATCGCCGGGTCTTGTCGCCTCACGGCCAACGCCGCCTCCCCAGGCCCCAAAATCAAAGCCCATCCACAAGGCTCATCCACCTTCGCCGCTGACTTCTCGTTAGTCTGCAGGTTCATCAGCAACATATCGTTACCGAGTTATCCTCCTTGGCTCGCAAACTCCGCGGAGCCAATTTACCTTAGGATAAGCTCAAGGCTACGTTTGAGCACATTGGACTTATCGACGCAATCTGGTATTTCTAGTGCGCCTAAACACCTCTTCCAAATACCAGATGGGCAACACAAAATCTCGGTAGAACTAAACCACGCTCTCTTACTGTCGCGTTCTATGGCCTCAGAGACCAAAAAGATGAGATCATGCTCTTCCTGCGCAACCACGATGTAGATGTAATGGCACCTTGATCTACTGCAAAAGGCCCTTGCACTTCGTACCGATCGGTGCCCTCCCGTTACTAACATATAAGTATCTATATGTAAAATAGCCCTCTCAGGCCATTCGCTACCCACTATAGTTTCGACATATCTTTAGCCGTTTAAAAGTATAACCGAATCCGACATAACAAAATTACTTAATCTAAGCTCCAGTATCATAATAGCCGGAGAACTCAACAGTAAGCATTCCTCCTGGAACTTGCTTATCAATAACCCAAATGGTAATATATTGTTCAATCTCTCGGAGTGACTAAATTTCGATGTTATCGCGCATGAGACTTCGACCGGCTACCAATTCACCACAACTCAACAACCGGACATCCTTAACGTAGCAATACTCAAAGATGTTCGTTTGTCGATAGCGTCGATCGAAACTATTTTAGAACTGCACTCGGACCACAGACCAGTTCTATTGCAGCTGGGCCAGCCCGCAGGCGAGATTCTCTAGACCAAAACCATTGTGTAATGGCGTAAGCTCGAGGTCAAACTCGAGTCTACGACCTCCCAGCACTTCAACCAAATCCCTGACAAGATAGACTCGCCTGAGGAGTCCAATGAGACGATTAGCACCCTATCGGCCCACCTCACCTCTACAGTCGAAGAATGCTCTCGTAAGGTAGCTGATTAGAGCGAAGAACGCGGCCTTAAGACAATACCATCACTTTCGTACTTTAGATAACAAATTCCGTCTGCGCTACCTCCAAAACGAGGTGAAAGAGCTCATTAAAGAGTTTAGAGACTATAAGTGGGATAATCTGCTGGAAGATATCGAGCCATTTCATACTGCCTTCAGGTAGTTGACCCCAGATCTGAAACCAGAATAATCCTCACTTATGCCGCCTTTCATTAGGCCAGGAAACCCCGATTTCGCCTTTGACGACTCTGAAGAGGCTGAATGCCTCGCGGGCAGTTTAGAGATGCAATGCACTCCCTTCAACAAACCCACAGATCCCGCTCACCTCTTAGAGGTATAAGCGGAGGCCGCGTGTAAGTCTGCAACACCACCTACGGGCGACCCCTTAGATCCTGTGACTGTTAATGAAGTCACAGTAGTAATTAATATCCTTAAAAAGAAGTCAGCACCCAGCCCCGATAGCATTAGCAACAGGGTACTGAAATCTCTGTCCGCACCGCTCGCTTGCCTCCTAGTAGTATACTACTTCAAGGCTCTTCTTTCCAGCTGCTCCTTCCCGGATGTATAGAAACAGGCAGACATAATTGGAATCCCGAAACCATGGAAACCGCGTAACTTAGCCTCTAGCTATTGGCCAATTAGTCACCTCAGCATAATGGGGAAAGTTTACGAGAGACTCATTTGGAATCGTAAATCCGCCGTATACGTTTTTTGGCAAATAAACTTCTTCCAGACGAGCAGTTCGGCTTCAAACCCAAACACTCGTGCACAAATAAGTTACACCGCCCCACAAAGTACATTCTGAAAGTCTTCAACCTCCCAAAAAGAAGTTCTAGAACCACTTACACTGGTTCACTCTTTTTCGATGTTGCAAAAGCCTTTGACGAAGTCTGGCACGATGGCTTACTTCACAAGTTGTATAACCTCAACGTTGTTGATAGGCTCATCCTCATGATTAGAGCCTTCTGACTAACAGCCAATTTCGCTATCGAATAGAGGGCATTCGATCCCCAATAAGCCTCCTAAAGGTCGGGGTCCCTCAGGGCTCAGTCCTCTCCCCACTCCTAATCACACTCTTCGCGAGTGACATCCTGAAGAACCCAGTGGTTAATACTGCTCTCTTTGCTGACGACACGGCACTCTTCGTCGCCCATCATAATAAAATTATACTCGCTCAGATGCTCAAAACAGTAGTCAACCGCTTAGGCGATTGCTTCCGCTTATGGAGAATTGAAGTGAATCCTGAAAAAATTGTAGAAATATACTTGCAAAGGCGTCCCGCTCTCAACCGTCAATTAAATACCAAAAAATAGTTAAGCACGATCAGCCTATATGGACGCCAGACCAGTCAAATACCGAGGGGTCACTTTTGACCACGGCATGACCTTTGAGAAATACATTCGCAATGTCCGCAACCGTGTCAAATTCTTCGCTAGCTGCCTCCACCCGCAAGTTATCAGCAAGAACAAACTGACCTTAAGACAAAAGCTCTATCTTTACAAAACATGCATAAGACCAGACATGTCACACGCTAGCGTAGCTTTCGCCTACGTGTCTGAAGCTAATTTGAGCAGCCTCCAAGCTATTCAAAATAGCTTCATCCGAAAAGCCACCGGAGCTCGTTGGTACCAGCGAAACTCCGATCTTCACAGAGATTGCCAACTCCTGACGATCTTAGAATATTTCAAGGAAATGTCTCAACGCTACTTCGAGAGCGTCAAAACACACCCCAACCCGTTAAACGGTGGTAAACGCAGCCACCTATGTCTTGACCCCAAATTCCTCGGCTTTACTCCGGAGGCCTCGTAACGTTTTAGTTGAAACCCGATTTCGTTAGACTACAA